CATCGCTTCTCTGACTCTGATCCTACCAACTCCCTCAGTAAGGATGCTTGTGATTACCCTGACTCCCCGGATCAGCCAGGGTAGTTCCCCCAAAGTTATTATCTTACATCTGCAAAAGTCCCCTTTCCCACATGACCTACAATACTCACAAATTTCAGGGATTAGGCTGCAGACATCTTTGGGAGCTGTTATTCTACCTACCATAATAGTCAACTCTGAAATATACAGTAAAACAAGCATTGACTTTTTAAGGTAAATAAACAATTCTTTGTATAATCAGGCAAGAAAAGCCACTTATGAGAAGAAAAATTTCTCTTACCTTGGTTTTCTTCAAAGTGCATTTAATGCCAAAAGAGAGTAGAGAAATTCCTACAACTCAAGTAAAGAAAAGATAAAATGGGGATTTTGCATCCAGCCACCTTTCTTTAAAATATAAAAACTACAGGGCAGTCTGGGTGGCTCAATCAGTTGAGCACCTTGCCTCTGGCTCAGGCCATGATCTCAGGGTCCTGGGATCATGTCCCACGTAGGGCTCCCTGCTCCTTTTTTTTTTCTTTGATACTTCCTTACTTTATTATGGTTAACAGGATACTTATACATCTAAACATTTACTCTAGGTATTCAGTGACATTTAAATTCTGAATTACCTTCCCATAATTAAGTTTCTTTAGGCACATTGGTTTGTATTTTATAGAAAACACTTATCTTTAGGTCACAAACAGGAAAGAGTATAATTTGCAAATGTTACAAAGATGATACCAAATCTCAGCTAACCTCTTTGCCAAACTGCAACCACTGTTAGTATTTAATGAAAACAGAGCCCCCAAATAATTGCTTACACATTATCACTGTATGATTGTGGTGACTATGAAATCCCTGAAAGAGCAGTAAGCCATGATTACTGGAAAGTTCAGAACACTAGCAAGGCTTAATTGCAAAGTATTTAACAGAAGGCCACAAATTGTGTTTTCCTAAGAGGAGCTAGGAACTATGGATGTCATTTAGTAATGCATTGGAATGGCATTGCCTAGTGCGAGTGTTGCACAAAAACTCCAGGTCACTTCTTCTTTATCATTATTTCGGATAAGCTTCCACAATCATAGCAAGGCCCTGCCCACCAGCTGCACAGGCAGCCACTAAGCCTAAGGTAAAGACCCCTCCCCCCTGCTCATGCTCTCTCTCTCTCATGCTTGCTCTCTCTCTCTCAAAAAAAAAAATCTTAAAAAAAAAAAGTATTTGAAGAATAAGGGCCAAATTCTTCTTAATTTTGAAGAAAGAATGAATCTACACATCCAAGAAAGTGCATGAATTCTAAAAAGCATAAACTCAAAAAGATCCATACCAAAGTGAGTTATAATTAAGGGGTTGAAAGAAAGAACCAGGAGAAAATCTTGAAAGCAGCAGGACAGAAGCAATTTTTCCAATACAAACAAGGGGGATGCTCAATAATATTAACAGTTGATTTCTTTCTTGAAACCATGTAGGCCGAAAACAGTGGGATGACACATTTAAAGTTCCAAATGAAGGATTACATCATCAAGGTGGCAGCACAGGAGTCTTACACATCATCCCTCCACAGAAACAATAACATTGGTGCCAAAACACCAGAAATTCAGAATCCAGCTAAGAAGTAGAAACTAAGTAGTAGAGCACAGACTGAGAAGTAGTCACATTTATATAGATAAGAAGAGCAATTTCAACTTATTTACATTAGCCCCTCCCCCAAACATGCCTAGGTCAGCACCACAAGATGGCCTCAGTCTGTGATTCCCCTGTGAAGGGATGGTGAGATCTGACTGTGCGCCAGGCCCCATGGTCTCTCAGAGTGCCTTCCGTGGAGCTGGTTTCCATCTTGACCCATACTTTGTGCTGAACATCCAAAAGAGCTTGGTCCCTGCTACAGTTAGAAACAAAAAAAGGGAAGACATTCTTCTATAGCCTCAGTTTGTTTTCTTTGTTTTGTTTTGCATGATTGAGGAAAAGCAAAGAACAGATTATTTTCCTCCAGGAGGGAAGGGAGGAAGCAAAGGAGACCTTGCCCCTGGCCTTACAGTGGATAATATTAGGCACTGCTGATTAGTAAACATGTCTCCCAGTCAAAATCAGTCCATGAGAGGTAGCTGCATAAGCAACAAAGCAACTCTGCAAGGAATGTGAAGAATCAAGAAAATCCAACACAATAAAAGGGATAAAACAAATCTCTAGTAAATCTGAAAGAAATAGCTATAAAGAGTTGTAGATTACTCTGAACTCTAAAAGTTAAAAGACAAAAGCATTAAAAGGAATTATAACTACAGTAATTTGTTAATAGACACACAATATAAAAAGTTGTAAATCAAAGTTGTTATCAGCTTAAAATAGACTACTATAACTACGTTGTTTGATAAAAGTGTCATGGTAAACACAAATTTAAAAACCTTTAGCAGATATCCAAAATACAAAGAGAAAGGAATCAAAACATATAAATTCACAAAATAGTCAAGCCACAAAGGAAGACATCAAGAGAGGAAGAGAGGAACAAAGGAACTACAAAACAGCTAGAAAACAATTAACAAAGGAAAATAGTAAGTCCTCACTATCAGTAATTACCTTAAATGTAAATGGATTACATTATCCAATCAAAAGGCAAAGACTGGCTGAGTGAATTGAAAGAAAAACAAAATCCCGGGATCCCTGGGTGGCGCAGGGGTTTAGCGCCTGCCTTTGGCCCAGGGCGTGATTCTGGAGACCCGGGATCAAATCCCACTTGGGCTCCCGGTGCATGGAGCCTGCTTCTCCCTCTGGCTATGTCTCTGCCTCTCTCTCTCTCTCTCTCTCTCTCTCTCTCTCTGTGTGTGACTATCATAAATAAATTAAAAAAAAATAAAAACAAAATAAAAACAAAACCCAAACATATTCCGCCTATTAGAAACTCCCTTCAGCTTTAAGGAAATATATAGTGAAGGGATGGAAAGCAATATTTCATCCAACTTTTAGACAAAAGAGACAAGAAGTGGCTATTCTTGTATTAGACAAAATAGACTTCAAGTAAAAAAAATGTCACAAAAGACAAAGAAGGTCATTATATGATGATAAGTAGATTGATTCATCAAGAGAATATAACAAGTATGTATGTGTGTATATATACACATACACACACACACACACATACACATATACACTCAACACTGGAGCCCCTAAATGTAATAGGCAAATACTAACAGATTTGAAGGGAGAAACAGACAGCATTTCATAACAGTAGGAGACTTCAATATCCTACTTTCAGTAATGGATAGATTACCCAAAAGAAAATCAGTAAGGAAAAAGTGTTCCTGAACAATATTATAGACCAGATGGACTTAGCAGATATGCACAGAATATTCTGTCCTACAGTCATAGAATATGCATTCTTCCTAAGGACACAAAGAAAATTCTCCAAGATAAATAAAATATTGGGGCACAAAATAAATATGAACAGATTTAGGAAGACTGAAATCACACCAAGTATCTTTTCCAGCCACAATGATATGAAGCTAGAATCAGTAGTAGGAGAAAAATAGGGATATTCAAAATATGTGGAAATTAAACAAAACACTCCTGAACACTAACAGGTCAAATGAAATCGAAAGGTAAATTTAAAAATATCCTGAGACAAATGAAAATGGAAACACAATCTATCAAACTTTATGGGACACAGGCAAGCAGTGATGCTACAACATGCCCATGTGCACCAACAGGTGCTGGTATCACAAGGCTAACCAATGGTTCCAAAGGGCAAGGCACCCAGTTCAGCACCCCCTTGGTCACTGAAGAGCAGTCACTACATAATATTCCGTGGAATTCATGTTCACGATCGAGGAGCAACTTCATCTTCTTGTGTGACATATAGCATTTTCGTTTTGTCCAAATGTGTAAAACAAAGTTAATATTTTTAAAACGTTTTCTTTGCTCCTTAAGTTCTTCTTCTGACTTCATTTTAATTCTTAGTAAACAGTCTGATGCCTATTAAAGTGGCAAGCATAGGACTTTGGAAAATGCAGAGAGATAAATAATAACAGAATCTCAAATAGTTTCCTCTGTGTTACATGTTACATTTGGGATCACTAAAGTCACTCAGAAAGATACAGATGCAAGACAGCACTCAAAAAAAAAAAAAAAAATACAGCACTCCTGGCACTCAAAGGCAAATCCAAAAACATTCTCTGGGCTCCTTCTCATTTCCATCCTGGCCTCCAGCTTGACTCTCTGATACTTGTGACCTCCCTGTTCTGGGTCACAGCCAAGACATTCCCTAGCCCCTGGCCTACTTTATTTTTCTCCATAGCACTTAATTTTATCATTCTACATTTTACTGATTCATTTGCTTTTTTTGTTATTTTTTTCCTGTTTTCCCCTCATCAAAAGGTAAATTTCATGAAAGAGAGGAACTATACATATTTTCTTCATTGCTAAGCTCTATGGCTCACACAGAAATTGGAACATTGTATGTCTTTAACCAATATGTGTAAAATATAAAGCAGTCATTTCACATTAGATTATCATAAAAGTGTTATATTTATTTGCACACATTATATTTATTAATAATTAATATTACATGTTTGTGATATGTTCAGTTTCATCTTCATCCTATTATGATTTCTCAATCCTAGTAAAATAGGTGAACTGATATTTGTGCAGATGATCTCAAGTCATTAAAGAAGCCAAATTGATTTCTAAAAAATAAAAAAAAAACAAAAACTGAATATGGCTTAGTATTGATTTTGTTTTATCATATGCTAATTTTAAAAAATTTCTAAGTATTAGCACCTCTACTAAATTAATTCTGTTTGTTAGATTATTATATTAGCCTAAATATTTACTCCCCAATCATTTTGAATACATTTCAGCTTCTTATTTTACATCTGATTCTAAGAAGCTTGGAGGCAGACAGCTGATGTGAGATGAAGTCTGAATATAGTCTTACAAGTGATTAGATTGGGTGGAACCGTAAGAAGAAAAGTTATAGGAGATGATCTTATTACCTTTTCGTATAGTAGGTGTGTCACTGTCTGCAATCAGTTGCAAGCAGTCCTGAGTGACTGAAAAACAAAAATACATCCTTTTAGCTACTTGAATAAGAATGATAAGGGAAGTAAGATGTCTGAGCGCATAAGGCTATACAGCTGTTCTTCCAGAAAAAGGAAACAATTATGCTTCCTACAGAGCCTTGTACTTTGTTCTAAAACTGCTTTATGAAATCTGCACATAGATTTTTGTTACAAATTTTACTTAAAATATAGTACATACATGAAATTCATGGTTTAGAAAAGCTCTATGTGCTGTTTGAAACACAGTAAGTGTACCATCCTTAGAGTTCAACCTAACTTGCTGTGAGGTATGATGCCTGGACAGAAAGTGAGTTTAGTGATGATTATCATGTGCCTTTCAAGCCCACCATACATATGAGCCAAATGATCAGAATACTCTAATGCAATGTTTTTGTTTAGAAAAATCCTAACATTAAGGAGTGCCTGGGTGGCTCAGTCAGTTAAGTGTCCAACTCTTGATTTTAGCTCAGGTCATGATCTCAGAGTCATGAGATTAAGCCCTGCATCCAGCTCTGCGCTGGGCATGGACCTGCTTGAGATTCTCTCTCTCCCTCTCCCCCCTCCTCCCCTCTCCCCCACTCTCTCTCTCTTTCAAAACAAAAACAAAAACAAACAAAAAAAGCCAAAGTTAAATAGCAATTCACTGTTACTGCTAATACAATTACCATTACTGAGAATAAAAACATTTACTGAGTATATACAAATACAGGCAACCTCACAAAAATCCTAAAAATTATGTACGGGAAACTAAGTCCTGAAAAGTGTAAACAGCTCATTTGGGGCCCATGGTGAAAAGTGACAGGGCCAGAGCTTAACTCGTGCCTGTTTCACTCTGGAGCCAAAGTCAAGCTTTGGGTAAAATATTTTGGACCAAGAAGAGAGAAGAGACAGCATCTTTCAAAATAAAATGGGAGATTTCCCTGAAACTGCATAATCAGTAAAGTTTCTGGGAAGCATCAATTTGCATCACATATCACGTGTCCAATATTCCAGACAGCATTCAAGGAAACAGAGGACTATTCTGTTAAATAAAGACAGATGCCTCCAGGTAAAAGCATATTGAGAACACTGTGTAGATATCATGAAAAATAGGACACAGAAATTTAAGTTTGCCTATTTTAAGTCAAGAAGACATTAATTTAGAGTTTTTTATTACCCAGAAAGTATCTTATTCAGAGTTGAAGTATTAAAAACATTCTTCCCACATTTTAAGAGCTTGGCACAGTGAATTCCTGCTTCATTGGATTATTTTAAAATGTTCTAAGTTCTAATATTTACAACACAACACCTAATAACAGATGTAATAGTTACAAGCTATCCCCAAGCTGCACAAACATACGGCTCTACAAAGATCACCGCTGCAGGGAATGATCACAGAAGAAAATCTGTTAAGAAGTCTCCCTTGGTGTTTGGGTGGAAATACGATGTTGCAATTCCTTTATCACCCTGAAACCTTCCTAACATATTTCTATGTTTATCTGATCATTTCAATAGGAGCAGAACATTCTGGACTACTTGTGATTCTTTTGTTGATCTGCAAAGCAATGGTGGCCATGTCTGTGCCACAGGGAAAATGTGACTCATTAGTGCTGTTACTATGGTAGACCTTCTGCCACCACAAATAAGTAAAAGCATCGCAAGAGGAAGAACTGTTGTGAATAAGGATGGCCTGAAAGAAAGAAGAAACAAAACACCCACAGCAGTGAAAGACTGAAGAGCAGGCACAGTATCTATCTAGAGTAGCCCTACTAACCCTACCTTAAACGTGTTCCTATCTTTCTAGCAAACACTTCTTAAGGAACTACCACTCACAGGGCACCATGGTAAGTTCTGTGAGGGATGCAAGGGTCAATCAGAGCTTGGGAGAAGAGGATGCTGACAAAGGTCAAGGTCAAATTTCCAAATGTTCCATCTTTCCTTTGCTGTATGTGCATATGCATTCAGAGATTATTAAGTGAGATAGTTTATGTGGCCCATTTAGTACCATTCCTGGTCCATGATACTTACAAGGTCAATCTTGGCTATTATAGTGGGAACAGTGCTAGCATTATTGCTCTTCACACTATTGCACTCAATTAACTGGACACATAAAGGAAGAGCACCAGGAGGCCATTAAAACCAAATGACCCCAATACAGAGAGACAAGAAAAATTGTAATATGTTATTCCGATTCCAATTAACCCTTCTTGACCATTTACCCAACATCCCATAGAATACTTACATGTTTTATTCAGAGAAAGAGTCTACCTAGAAAACATCTGAATTTTAATCTCTGCAGCCCAACTAGAGTTGGCTACAACTTACATGTTAAAAGACAATGATCTATTCCATCATGTAGTAGCAGAAATATAATTTTTAATAGAAAATACACTGCGGTAAGAAAAGTGTATTCCAAGAAAATACTCTTCAGAAAGGAAAGTGGAATATTATAATAAAAGTTCAGTAATATGTTTGAATTACACTCACTGAGACCAATGCCATTCATTGACTTTTCTTGTTCCAGACAAAGTCAATGGGCTTTTGAACGAGTGCTGTCAGAAATAAGCCAAGGACATCCCACTTTGGCCTCATGAGTTGCTGCTTATGTGTCGTCAACCTCATCAGTGCTGTTTACCTCTTTGCTTTCAGCTGTTCCATTTTAGGAAATCTAACGTCCATTATCATCTTCTCTCTAGTACAATCCTTTAAGACTCTCCAATTCAACAGATCTGGCCTTAAAGTATGTATTATTGCTCACAAAAAGTGGGTCAAAATAGCAATACTGCTTTTTCACATCTCCCAGTAGCACAGATAGCCAACCACAAGAGTTTTGAGAATGCACAGTCGAAGGTAAGAAACACAATGCTGGTAACAATTATAATGGTCATCGATGTGTTTGGTTTTCAAGTCTTACATACATCCTTCTCTCTACTACAACTGAAGGAAACTTGAAGAGTGTGAGAATAATTTATCTTTTTAACTAAACAAGGTGGCAGCATACATTAAAACCTTTCTGTATGATGGGGATATACATATTTCTAAATATATATATTTTATATTATAATAATGTGTGAAAAAAAGGATAATTGATAAGTACAAATTTACAGCATAATATTGATTCATAACATTGAATTTTGTGTAAAATGTTTCTAAAACAAAAATATTATATTGATGGCAAAAATAGTTTACAAAAGAGAATTCCTAAAATAAGAGTTTTTAGAACAAATATAATTTGCTATTGCTCAATATTTGATATAATAAAATCCAACCAACCTCACAGTGAGAATACATTTAAATATTTTCCATACGGAAAACATTTTGAGTTTGAAAGCCATGTGTATGACACTTTTGCAGAGCCTGAGTGGCTCAGTCTGTTAAGCATCTGCCTTCAACTCAGGTCATGATCCCAGCCCCACATTGGGCTCCTTGCTCAGTGGGGAGTCTGCCTCTCCCTTTTCTCCCCACCCCCATGCTCTCTCTCTCAAATAAATAAAATCTTTAAAAAAATAAGTATGACACCTATGCTACATTCAAACACCATTTAATTAGAAGGGATTTGACAGTTTATGGGATTGCTAGTATCTGCTGTATTATTTTCTGTATTGGAACTAGACGTTTTCAAACTAGAATTGGGTTTACTGTACATTATTTCAAGAAAGTTCAACCTAATATAAACTACCATAAATAATGCAGTTATTGCAGATTATGCATAATTCCAGTAGAAAGCACAGAGCTTCCCCCATTACATCTGCCCCATTCATATGAACCTCACCTACTTGTTCCTGATCATCCTTCTTACTCAGCTCATTCAAGCTGCTTCCAAGCTCCTCAGTCTGGATGAGAGGCCCTTCCTACATTTCCCTGTATCTCTTCTTCCTTCCGTCCTCTTACTTACTGCACCACAGTTTCTGAAGGTGATGCCTCTCCTATTGATGCATACTTTACCTGTCAGTATATGGAAGTCATGTAGTTTGATTTTTATGGAACTAATTTTTTAAATTTTATTTATTTATTCATGAGAGAGAGAGGGGCAGAGACATAGGCAGAGGGAGAAGCAGGCTCCCTGTGGGGAGCCCAACATGGGACTGATCCCAGAACCCTGGGGTCACAATCTGAGCCAAGGGCAGATGCTCAACCACCAAGGCACCCAGCTGTCCCTGGAACTAGTTTTGAATAAATAATCAGTGGAAAAGTCTAACTAGGAGAAATCCCATAAAGATCTAAATATTGACCTAATGGTGGACATGGATTTATGAAGAAATTGAAGAAAACATGACTTTGGGATAAACATTCCTTAAGGAATGGGAATACAAGAATTTAGGGGTAAAAAAATGGATTTTAGAGTTTTATTTGACCATTGATAAACAGTTTTCCAAAACGAGTTAACAGAGTTTTAAAAGTCTTTCTAGAGATCTAAATTGTATATATTTGACTTACCAGAAAAGCTTTTAAAAATTCAGAATTTTTAATCTTGAGAGGGGTCTGCCTGATACATGTTGTGCTTTAGAAAGATCATAATGCATCCTTGTGTAGAATAAAATGCAGAGAGTATGAAAGCAAAGGGTCAGCTGTTGACTGGTAGTAAATATAACATGAGGATTTGATCTCAGAAGCAATTATATAAATAGAGCACCCGAGGTACATTGTGAGAAAAAAAATTAAAAGTTTGTAACTAATGAGTGTGTGTCTGAAGGAGAATTAAAAACTAATAATGAAAACAAGATTTCAATTCTGGATAATTCAGAAAGATGGTAGTACTACAATCCTGAGGCAGTACAAAAGGGGAGCTGGTTCTTTGGAGGTTTTGGAAAGAGGTTGATAAAATAAAATAGAAATTACAAGTGTCAACAGGAGTAAAGAAAAATATCTCAATGTAAGATTTGTGTGTGTGTGTGTGTGTGTGTGTGTGTGTGTGTGCTGAGTCCTAAGCACTAACTGGGCATTGTTACATACCCTTCATAATGTGAGTGTATCTTCTATGCCTAAAGCACTGTAGTATATACAAAATGGTA